GATCTTTTCAAAGAACTCTCAAGAAATAATAATAATAATTCATAGTATTTATTATATATATATATATATATATATATATATATATATAATGAAATGAACAAAGTCCGACATTTATTGTAAGACATTTTTTATGTTTATACGTTTTTTTTTATAGATACAAATATTTATTATAAACAAAGCATTTACTTAAATATTTGTATCTATAAAAAGACCGTATGAACATAAAAAATTCTTAATAATATATATATATATATATATATATATATATATATATATTCTATAATTCTAGGTTATAAGTAATTTTAACTAATTTAATTTAAAAGCTCTCTTTTTTTTAAGCCTTTAATTTAGACTTGTTTAATAGTATCGTAACAACTTTTTCAATTTGTTTCATGAAAAGATGTAATAAACATTTGCTGTTCTGTATTAGAGGAAAGTTAATTATTGCTTCAGAAGATGGTGTAGAGAATGGTTATGATGGAAAATATTGAAAAAATATATTAAAGTAAACGTCAAATGAAAATGAAACTACGAGAATAATTCCTACTTTTAGCTTAAAACAATGAAAAAGACTGTTTAACAGTAACTGGTGTTTTAACTTTGTTAAACGTTGGCTGGTGTTGACTCACGTAAGAATGTGTAAAATATATTGATACCTGAAGATGCCATTTCTCTTCCCACCTCATATGGTCGTCAAAAAGTTTATTATAATTCCAATTATTTATCATTCGTTAATTTTCCAGAATAGAAAACTATCAACAAGTTCACACACCTCCCCGGTCTTTTGAACAGGTTCATCCCTTGTTTCCTGTTTAGGAGTGGGTTTCCGGTTCCTTCTAAACTCTGCCTCAACTCAATACTTCTAACTTCTCTGTTTAAATTTATACTATTATTGTTTTCATTTCATTTGTAAAGCCTTTTTCTTATCTTTCATTTCCATTAGCCCGTTGCATCTTAGCGGCATTATCGCCTTGTTTGGTATGAATTGATGAAAAGAGGAAAATTGAAGTAGTCGAGATAAGAGATATTGCAAATAATTATACTGGTCACAGAAGAAAGTGGTGCAGAGAAATGTAGTGGATGCAGTAGAAAAATGTAATCTCTCGATAAAAAGACATGTCATATATATAACCAATAGCTTACCAACACAAAAATCAAAACACAGCAATAAATCCGACAAATACTTACCAATAATACGAAAATACTATACCAATTGAACTATGAAAAACGATTGCAAATACTAGAAGACATAACTATAAAAACAAACATCAGTAAAATTTAATTCAATTCAGGAACAAACATACTAACTTCACTTCACAAGTTATAAAAAATGACACTACAAAACTAACGTATGATGACGCGATACTTACAAAATAAATCCGACTTGACACTTTCCGACGTACGAAAATACCACACATGAAAAAAAAACCCCCAAAAAACAATGAATACATAGATACAATCCTAATGGCACCTCATCACACACAGAAGATTCTTTGATAATTGCTTATGAAGGCACAAAGATCTGGGTGATTTGTGTTCAATTTTTTCTTGGAAACCAGAAAAATGGTTCTAACCGTATAGTTATTTAAAAACAACTTTCATTGGTCCTCAAACAAACCTGCATACATTAAAATTATTGCCCAAATACCCCCACACACACACACACACACACACACATATATATATATATATATATATATATATATATATATATATATATATGTGTGTGTGTGTGTGAGCACTATTGTCAAGACTGAAGCAATCTTAGGGGCCATGTTGTGCGTCGAATATTTGTTTATGCTTATTAATAGTGCATTGTGGGTAGCAATGTCTATCGTATTATCGTAACCGTTATAGGGTAGGAGGTAACCGTTATGTTTCCTAGAGTCTATTGAGGAGGAATAATTGTGGATACGAATGTGGTTATTTGAAACTATTTTTTAATATTGTTTGTTAATTTTGTACTCGTTATTTAATATTAATTACTCAATAATCTGTTGTATTTTATTATAAATTGATTTGCGTCCAAGCCCGGAAGAAATGTCCCCACTCAGAGTTGATCTCAGTCTCCACTTTTATATCTACATGTGCTTTATTCCTAATTTTACAACATTTACACATAAACATGGCATACCTTAAAACTATATTTGCATCATATATATATATATATATATATATATATATATATATATATATATATATATATATATATATAATATCCAAATGTGAGAAAGAACAGATGGAGAACAATTTCACCGTTCGTAGCATTTAATTATTTAAAACTGCTCAATACAAAGTGTGTATATATATATATATATATATATATATATATATATATATATATATATATATATATAAGCAATATATGGATATAGATCCGACAGTATGAAGAAAAATATACTGAAAAAAAAACAAACAAAAATCCTAATATGCGATTATGCTGTTTTAATGTTTAATGTCAACGTCGGACGTTTCGGTTTAATAGACCATCTTCAGGACATATTCATAAAATATAATTAACATAGACCATATACAATTCAACATGAAAAAGATGATGGACATAAATAGCAATACCAATCCAAACAGATAACTGAAATCTTTTATAAGATCAGCGTTCCGTTTAAATATGATCATGTCGTCGTCGTTTTTTTTTCAGTATATTTTTCTTCATATATATATATATATATATATATATCAAGAACTATATTGAGGAAATTATATGACAAAATGGAAAAAGTTTATTTGTCACACATTTTATCCGTAAGAACTTCATCGGGCTGGGTTTTTTGATGTTGTTGTAACTATACATCCGCATGAACGAGAGACGCTGGTAGTTTCAAAATTTTTGAAATACCTTTTTTTGCAATCTTGTCAAATTCATCTATATTCTTTTTCTTTTCATCATCATTGTTATTAAATCTCACACATTGTGATAACAGAAAATCTGCCAAGAAGGATGAAACATTATAAGAACCAGGACGCAAATTTACGGTGGTTGTTGTCCACCGTAACGACGCTGACCACAATTTTGACTTTAATTAAAAGAGAAAATAATTCACTATTTACATTATTCGGACTATTGTCCTCATCTTTGTCGCCATATTTATTACAACGTTTCGGCCGTTGTACGCTCCGGCCTTCTTCAGGTGGTTGAAATGTCGAACAACCCTTTTATTTATCTGCCTTAACACTCACATTTTTTTGGGTCCTGTCACTGGATCTAACCAACGCCTTTATCCACTGGGTCATGTGTCCTTGAGGACATCTGTGTATGAATTTCTGGGTATTATAAACCTAATGTCTTCAGCAACCATTTTTACCAGTGCTCATATTGCAATTTTTTGCTGTTATCATTTCATGTTTTTACCAGAGCTCATATTGTAAATGTTGTTGCTATTATTGCTTTTCTCTGGCACTCCTTATTACTGGGACCCAAAAGAGTGTGAGTTCAATACCCGGTTAAGGCAGTAGATAACTTTCAGAGGCAAATTAACAGGAAATAACTGATAACTGACATCTATTAAACATGGCACGTGGAACAAGAACAGTCTACCCCAGTGAGCGAAATAAAGGGTTAAGTTCAACATTCTAACCACCTAAAGAAGTCCGGAGCGTATAACGGCCGAAACGTTGTAATAAATATGGCGACAAAGATGAGGACAATAGTCCGAATAATCTAAATAATATATATATATATATATATATATATATATATATATATATATATATATATATATATATATGTTCGTCTTTTCGTGTAAACGTCGATCTAACAATTGAATAACTAAATATTGACAATGACTCCGCTTGTTAGCTAAATGGCAGCGGCCATGATGTGGGTATGAAAACCCCCAAAATTATCAAAAGTCCCGTTTTCCTGCACGTTTTACAGTATACATGGAATTTAGAATTGAAATCTGCTTAATTTCCTGGTACAACTTCTCTTACTCTCTTTCTCTATCTTCTTGCCATATTCCTTCCACATCTTTCTGTCATTTCTAGAAACTGTAGTAAATTCAAGTAACTGTTCTACAGAAGGATGCTGAGAATAACATAGCCCGAACATGTGAGGAACAACAATGTTTTAGAGAAAATAGAAACAAAAAAGACATTAATAATTAACATCAGGAAGAGGCAGTTAAAATTTCTTGGACGCATAATGAGGAAAGAAGGTTTAGAAAATTTGACGGATGGTGGAAAACAACGCATGGCCTACCCAGCGAGTTTGAGTGGATGGCAGAATAAGTTTTAGATAACAAAAAGGAAAAAATATTAAGAGTTGTAAAGGACATGAAATTGTGGAGGTCTATGATCGCCAACGTCTTGAAGGGACATAGCATATTGAAGAAGATTGAATCTCCTACTAGCAAACGCGCTATCCGCCATCATTTAATGGTTAAAAATTTGTTTCGAGCGAATGAAGCCTGTACGTCTCAGCAAGATAAATACATCTTCGAATCTTGTGAACTGGCGCTACAGAATCAAAAAAACAAATAACAGGAACCAAATCACTTGAGGGTTTTCAACGGAAGCAACAACTAAAAAGGATAGCACGTGTAACTCGAAGAGAAAATAATAGCATAATGAAGTTGTTGACATTTAACACTATTTTTAAAACAAAAGTTTTGGAAAGTAGCTTCCATCAATACTGAAAATAGTGATAACAGCTGCTCGATTTGTGAAATCTATTTTCCTGAACAATTCTTTTAATACATAGACTTTATAAATTTTAACTGAAAGTAGCACCAGGTGTTCGATCATTGAATGCCAAATCTTTCCTTATAAGCGAGCGGCTAATATTACCTTTGTCGAACACAACATATCAAATCAATATATCAAATGTTGATGCATACCTGGCTATGCAACTTAGGGGATTAAACTTAGACACCCCCCACTAGCATAACTCCCCAGATAATCGTAGAATGTAAGCCACTCCATCATATCAATGTGCTTAATGATAGAATGTAATATTAATAAATATGTTTTCTTTTCTTTGATAG